AGATCGGTGTACAGTTACCCACTACTATATAGTCCCGATCACAAACCGACAAGACGGCGGAATCGTGGCTCAATGGTTAGAGCGTTCGCCTCTGGGCGGAGAGACGCGAGTTCGAAATTCGGGTGTGGCGGCAATTTCCGCTGCTACACTGGAGTTGGGATATCACCACCTGATGACGTCTAATAAGGCAGAAAAGGCCTTTGTGGATGCCCCCTGTCTTTGGCGGTAAATACATTGTAATAGGAAATATCAATTATAATGGAGTGGGGCTCAACGATTGAGTTGCGGGACCTGCTTGTCTCTTTTTACCTTGCGGCTCGACAGTCGGCCGTCGATTTCGACTAGGTCTGTCGTGCAGGGACGGTGAGTTCCGCGTGGATTGCTTCTAAGTAATAGTAGACTTGCGGGCATCTACCGCACTCCCACGCCTCTGCTCGGATTCAAAACAGAGTCAAGAAGACCGAAGGTAAGATCACGCTAAGGTGATACACACACAGGCAGAGAGTAGACGTAGGTGGCTGGTCCGGCGTGAACCCGCATCTGCGCGGAGAAACACGCCTCCCCCCCCGCTCCCCACGAATGTTCGGCATTTCAGATGGGAAAGCAACCCCAGTCACGTATACCGTATCCTAATCTGGTCCCCCTGTTACTCCAGCGCATTCACTATGCAGCCCGTTTAGGGGGCACAACCTTGCGGCTGAGAGGGTTTTGGAAGATTTGAATAAGTCATTCGACCCAGTTGTGAAAAAATTCACAACCTCAGTGAAATTCGAATCTACGACAGCGCGAGGGAAAGGCTTTAATACAGCCAACGGTCTAGCCACCTGAGCTCCGAGGCCTCTACCGGGAATCGTGAGTTAAATCACACTTGGGTCATGTTACCCACGCAGCCTACTGCAACATGCATGGAATCCACAAATTCTGAAAAAGTAAGCTGACTGCCCACGCAGGATTTCCTAAGCAATCAGTCTTCGTTGACTTTTGGGTACTTTCTCCTGCAGTTCGGTCAATTTTTTGCGAGTCCCAGTGCAAATTCGATTAATATACCCGATTGCAACCGACAGAACGAGCCCGTGGCTCAGTGGTTAGGGCGTTGGACTTCTAACCAACATATCACGGGTTCCAGCCTCGGGTGGTTCACTACTTGGGGTTGGTCGTGACTATCTGATGAGGGCTAATGAACTGGAAATGACTATTCAAGCCCGCGTTGTCTTTGCCAACAACTCTATCTGCCTTAGCTACTAGCCACTGTGCGGCTGCTGGCGGGGCTCGAGAATGAGCCCCAAAACAGAGAGGGAACTCGAGGGAAGCCCGCTAGCGATCGGTGAACATTCATCAATGACCGTCAGTATTCCCCATCTACACCGGCAAGACAACGAGCTCGTTGCTCAATGATTAAAATGTTAGACCCCTGTCCAAAAAGGTCTCGGATTCGTGCCTCGGGTGGAGCACCACTTGTTGTTGGGTATGTTTGGATAGTGATGGCTAATAAGCCAGAACAAGGTCATTCCAATCTCCCTTGTATTTGACTGTACCACCTTATCTACTACTAGTCGCTATGCGACCGTCTACGAGGGCTCTAGTTTGGGCCCAAAGCACAGTGAGACGCCATGGTTTATAATCCCGATCAACACCGGCAGGACGTGTGGCCTAACCGTAGAACGTTAGACCCCATGAAGCCAATAATCCCAGGTTCGAATCTCAGCCGTTCTACATCTGAGGTGGGCAAATAGCGACTTACATGCCAGGACTGATCATTTCAGTCTCTTTCCTGTATTTGTCGCAACACCTTATCTACACATACAGTACGGCTCAGAATTCGTGCAAAATACCGACATTTGCAAAAGATTGATACGCACTCGCTAATTGACTTTCAGTAGGGTAATAATACTGATTATCGTGCAGCCTATTCTCAGGTCATTTCAGACACGATATGATGCCGGCTTTTTAATGAGTTTCTTTTTGGCCGCTAACAAAATGTATGTACTGTAAAAATGGCTACTTAAGTACTATGCAATTTTGTCAGTAATTTTGATTGCCTTTCTGAATTCAAATATATTCTATGGAAAACATACACAAAAAAATTCTGTCTTGTGCCCGATTGGTAGCAAATTAGGCTTTATTTAAAGTTTATACCTAAAGAAAGGGTATTTTTCGGTTAAAAAAAAGAAACACAGTTATCACAAAATGTTGCAGTAGATGTGGATGATGCTGTATACATTATAGGCAGCATTAATAAATTGACAGAAGAAATAAAGAAGCTCGTTAAAAGCCGGCATCATACCGTGACTGAAATGACTTTAGAAGAGACTACATGATAATCAGTATTACAACCTTATTCAATGCTAATTAACGAATGAGTACAAATCTTTCGCAAATGTCGGCATGTTACACAAATTCTGAGCTGTACTGTAAGTGCACCAACCGCTCTCCGTAATCGGATGAGTACAGGGTCCGCAAAAAGCAAAACCACGCAGCATACATCCCCAGCAACAGGGAGGGGAGGTTCAGGGAAAAAAGTATCGTTTCACCAAGAAAAAAACAGGACGCACTCACCGGGCGCAACCTTCGAGACCGGCAGCACGACCATCACAGGGAAGGTATAGGCGACAAAAGCCACCAAAAAGAGACTCCCCACAAGCCAGTGGAAGGCGGAGCAGTTGAGGAGGCTCGGTGTGGCTGCATGC